GTTCAGCGAACTGCCCGAGGCCACGCGCCGCGAGCTGCCACGCCTGGCGCTGGGCGGCTCGGTCTATTCCGACGACCCGCGCAGCCGCCTGGTCGTCATCAACGGCGAGGTGCTGCACGAAGGCGCACGCCTGGGCAACGACCTGGTGCTGGAGCAGATCCGCCCGCGCGAGCTGGTGCTTCGCTACAAGGGGCAGCCCTACCGGCAGCCGCTGTGACCCCCTAGGTCACGCGCGGAGCATCCCCCTTCCGCAGGCAGGCGCCCCCTCGCTTGGGCAGAGCCATCGGGTGCAGCGCCGCCTAGATTGCAGAAGCGCGTGACCGTGATTCACGCTTCAGGGAGATCCACATGCTGCGCCATCTGCTGGTGCTCGGCCTGGTGCTGCCCCTGCTCGCCGCCTGCGCGGGCTCGCCGGTCGTCACTGCCTTGCACAACCCGCTCTACCGGGCGGAGAACCACACCTCCACGATCACGGTGCGCGCGACCGAACCCCGCGACGGCATCGCCGAGATCCGCATCCATGCCGTCGTGGGCGAACTGACCGCCTGCAGCTCGAGCGTCTTCTCGTTCCCGAGCCTCATCCCCTGCCGCAGCAACGCGGTGTCCCTCGGCGCGGTCTGCAGCTTCGCGAACGTCAAGACCGAGGTGAGCTGCAGCCTGCCGATCGCCATCACGCCGCGCCGGCTCGTGACCTACACGGCCAGCGCGCGCAGCGGTGGCAACCGCACGAGCCATGCGCCCGCCGTCACCTACGCTGGCGGGGCCCCGCTGACGCAGGCCACGCTGAACTTCCCCTTCGGCGGCACCGTGACGCTGCCCTGGGAGACGGCGCGCCCCATCGTCTGGCGCACCGACGCCCCCGCGTCCACGACCGACCGCGGTGACAAGATCGACTGGGGCCTCGTGCCCGACGCCGACATGCCCACGTACCGCGCCTTCACCGACGACCTGCAACCCATGGTGCTGGCCCTGTTCTACACGGACACCAACACCTTCAGCCAGTGGACGCGCTTCTGGAAGGGCCTGTTCAACATCTGGGCCGGACCGACAGGTGCCGATGGCGAAGGTTGCAGCCGCTCTTTCGGCGGCGAAGCAGCCCACGTGCGCGCCGCTTTCGACGGCACACAGATCCTGCACCGCAACGCCTTCCGCGACTGCGCGTCCATCTCGCTGGGCGGTGGCGCCGGCACGGTGCAGACCAACCTCGGCGACGCGCCGTGGGTGATGCTGCACGAGGCCGGGCACTTCCTGTTCGGCCTGGGCGACGAGTACGACGGCGGGGGCAACTCGTCGATCTCGACGCCGAAGAACGTCTTCCCGTCGAAGGCGGCGTGCGAGTCGGCGTCCACGGCCAACAGCCTGCCCGCCTCGCAATGCCAGCAGATCGGCAGCACCGGCACCTGGCGCAACGACGACGGCCAGCCCACGACGATGGAAGACCGCGTGCTCACGAGCGACTGGCGCACGCTGGCCGGCCGCGCGATGGGCATCCGCATCAACAAGTGCACCAGCGGTGCCTGCTACTGAAGGAGGCCACCATGCGAACCCTGTCTGCCCTGGCGGTGCTTACCGTCACCCTGCTCACGCTCATGCCCGCTTCACACGCGCAATCCGCTGCCGCGGCGGACAGCGGACCCGCGGCGTCCGACGGCGGCAAGGCCGTGCTGATCGAGCCACGGCCGCTCGCCGAGGCCGACGACCCGGTCAATGCCCGCGTGCTCGCCGAGACGGCCAACGGCCTCGCCCTGAGCCTGACGCTGGACGGCGCCACCGTGCGCCTGGACAGCGCCGTGCCGGCGCGCGTGCCGCGACGGCAGGCCCGC